GTGGTGGTCGTGGTGGTGGTGGTGGCCGTGGTAATACCAATATTCAGAGGAGGCGGAGTGGCAAGGTGTTTCGAACTGTCCACAAAGCACGGCCCGAACAATGGGCAGCCACAACAGACGAGACGAGCAAAACGCAGGAGAATTTCAGCGTCATTGCGGGATTTCCGGACTCGGCTGGCTGAATTTCTGATTTTTTCTAGAACAGCACTTGCGGACATTACATGTTTCGCTAGATTTGCGCCAGTGGATTCGAGCAAGGTGATGTTTTGCGGCACAAGTTCTATAAGGCTAGAGCAGCAGCATGTCTGAAAAGCAACTAGCAATATGGCCAGTGCGGCTTGACTTGATCGGCAGGCCTGGCAAACCGCCCACCTGGACGTCTTGATATGTCCAGTGTACCCGACTCCTGCTCCACATGTGGAGGAGGCGGCAGCTGCAACATGTCAGTGCACTGCTGTATCGAGCACTGTCAGAGCATCGCGGCTTTTGGAGATGGGTTATGCTTCAACCCCCGGCTGGACCCCTCAGAGCTGAGCCTTCCGAGCAAGCTGGAATTTTCTTTGTATCAGAGCTGCAAGGTTTCTGTTCGACACGTGTTCATACAGTAGCCAGTAGGCTCAGACTGTCAAATGCAGATTCAATTTTCGAGAAACAGGTCAGAAACGCCGCAGCTCAGTCGCAGCTTGAGACCAGAGCAAGCATCAGGAAGGACTGCAATATACAGCTACTGCCGTTCCTTGAGACTTGAGGCGCAGACGACGATCTCAACGCGGATCTTCAACATCCTTGATATGCCTGCCGGTGTTGTCACCGTGACATCAGTCCAAGAGACCGAAGCTGTGCTTGGAGGTATCTTTTTTGGTGTTTCGTAGAGTTACTATTGGCCGAGTGCATAGTTTTAGGGCAATTGAGAGAGGGTATATGGTGACGCAACAGTGACTTCCAAACGATCGACTTGTTGAATCCCTGGCTGCGAGGATTTGAAGGAGCCTTATGAGACGGGTATTGAGAACCCGCGAATCAGCAGAGTGCCTCGCCTGGACTGGGACTTCTAAAAGGTGTTTTGGATTGTTGTGGCTCAACACTCAGATGGTCACCCGGGCTGCGGAAGATTCGCTTGGACTTCCAGTGGCCTTGCAGCTCACAGCGCTGCCTTGGAGGGAAGAGCTTTGTCTTCGCGTGATGACAGAGCTGGAACGAGCTCTACCGCCTCCAGGCAGCTTCTGTCTCTCAGCAGTAGGAAGTGGATGCGTAACAACTGCAATCAAGGAGACTCAAAAAGCATCGGACCTGGCAGGCGCTCACCACGCGCTTGCGCCAGAGCCCAGGCCCTGTCGCGCCGTGACGCAAACGAGAGCTCTGCTGGCTGTTGGGATCGCGCGCAGGAGGAGCCCGACTCTCGGAGCCGCACCCGTGCCGCTACAAGCAAGGCTTTGAGAGCGCGCGAAAATCGAAAAAGGCATCCCAGCCCTATCCTGCCTCTCAAAGGTGCTAGGCACGGCAGACCGGGAAGATGGATGACAATGATGTGAGGGTTGTTCGGAATTCCTGTATTCTGTGCCTCGTACTTCTCCCACAGTGCTTTTCAATGATCGTTTTGCTTACATCGCACACCAAATCTTTCTGACATCTTTGCTGATCGTACGCTACTTCGTCTGTTGCTACACGTCGTCGCGATCACTTGCGTTTCCCTCGTCGTCGTGGTGGCCGTCACCTCCGCCTCCGTCTCACTGCCTCTTCTGCTCCTGCCGATGTTTTTTGGTGTGGATGTGATGTTCAGTTCTGTTCTGAAGATGAAGCTTTGCAACTGCCCGAAGCAAAGTGCATTTCGTTACGGCAGTCGCTTGAAGGTGCAGACATGGCTTTTGCTGCCAAGGCCTTGGAGTTGCAGCTGGCAGACAGTCAAAAGGCCTGTCTTTCTGTAGCTCAGAAGTCTTCCTCTCTCCGACCGTGTTTCGAGAGGCCATGGCTGAGCTTCGCAAGGAGAATGAAGCCCTCAGCAAGGAACATGGCTCGCAGACGGAGAACACACCGCGACTCTAGCTCTGACAGGGAGGATCTACAGCAAGCAGGAGCTGGGTGCTGGACATTGCGGTTGGTGAATGCGAGTTTGCAAGTGCCCCATGCTTCCGGTGCTTGCAATACATTCCCTCCATTTTCGCTGGCCACTCTCGCAAACGAGCCAGCATACTCCTTGGGAAGGTGCCTTTGCTTACTTCCTGGAAGTGCAGCTTCAGGGCCATGCCGAGAAGTAATCCTCTCAGCCGCTCAGAATTTTCATGTCAGTGTCTGGTACTTGTACTACAGTTAATTAACTGGTGGAACACGTTCTCTCGGCTTCGGAGGCGCCGCACTGAGACTTCGCCGCCCTCGGAACGTCCGGTCTTCGCGAACTCCAGCCTTCTGTCCCTCGCCGTGGAACCCCGAAGTGACTAGTGACTGTGGCTTAGCTGATCCAAGGTTGACCGTAGGTGCGGACTTTGCGGAGGAGAATCTCCAGGCCACACACATTGAACTCACACATGTGCAAGCCGCAAGTCTGAGAATCTGGAGCTGCCGAGGTGTCGGCGTTTCTGAACGTGGTGGATCATTCCGCCTCGGAGCCTGCGCCTGCGGCTCCTTTCTCAGTTGCAGAACCCTTGCACACGGAAAAAAAGTGTTTGTGACCAAGGCAAAACTTCTCGGGACGGGAGTCTTGCCTCTCCAAGAGTTGAAGGTGCCCGCGTGCAATCAGGAGAGCGGGCATCTCCACAAGCAGACACTTGATCTCAGCTGGATGCCTGCGCTTGGCTCGAGGGTGCTGGAGCTGGTGGTTTGCAAGCATTGCTGGTATCGGCAAGTTAGCGCATGTCAGTATGTCAATCACACAACATCGGAGCCGGTAGAGTCAACTTGCCGCTTGAGTCCACTGCTCAAATACCGAAAGCCGGAAGCTCAGAGGCAGAAGGTGCCTTGCATCGTCGAGACACTCCGAGCCAGGCAGCCCTTAGTTCATGCACCCTTTTTTCACAAAAAGATGGCATGGGCCGGGAGCTCAACTGCAATGATGGAGCCGTGATATCTTCTCGAGCAATCCACCGTGCTGGGCGAGGTCAACAACAACAAACGCAACGCCCGTACTTTGGCAGCAATCGGAAGGGATAGTTTTAATTTTCATATCATGCGGTGCTCGCAATCTGTCAATTCTATCATGACCTTGCTCGATGCGAGCGGATCGCCTGCAGGACATGATGACCTACAAGACAGTTACACCAGTAAATAGATCGTCTCGCTTTGTTGCTACTGGGAACCCAAAAAAACGGTCAGATGGCTGTCTCTCGCGACCAGCTCGTATTCGTGACTGTTATCGCAGAGTTGTAAGCCTGTCTTTTGAGTCTCAGCCCTGGTAGTGTGGGATATCAGAAGGATATCGGATATCACTAAGCAGGGGAATCACGGGAATGATCTTCTCCTGATTACGTGAGAGTTGGAGATTGCAGCACGTCACATGAGTCTCTCCGTGAGCAGAAAGCTCAGTTATGGCCAGAATTCGCTGCTGTCTGGAGAGACGCGACCAAACTTCTTGCAACCTACAGCTGCCAGGCTTCAATCCAAATCGCCGAGACGATCGGTTGCTGGATGCAGAGGTGACCGCGCGGCGGCATCCACGGCCGTTCTGAGCCTGAGCTGTTTGCATGGGTATGCTGGCATCGCACTCGGTGCACGAGCGGAAGTGCCAAGGCAGAAACCCGCGGAAGATGATGATTCTGACAGCGAGGAGCTAATCAACACTGAGCCAGAGCTTGGCTCTCAAGTGGAAGACATGTCGTGCTCAGTCCTGTGCAGTGCTTTCGACGTCGGGCCGGGCAGTCAGGTTCGTCCTCAGCATGGAGAGCGACTCCCGCGTGGACTGGCGAGATCCTGAGTTTTCCCAATTGACTCGCAGAGAGGCAGGGCAATGACATCCCAGGCTACAGATGGCTCTCATGCAAGCAGCCGAAGGAAAGCTGAAGGTCAGGTTTGTGTTTATAGTTGCTTTAGGTGCTTTAGGAGTGTCGTCCGGCTGATGACGTTGAGCTTGGATGATAAAGTTCGTCATGTCTCTAGTGCATGTGGCTGAGAGGCTGCCTATGGTCCCTCCGAGCAAGTGCGCCGACAACCTCTGTGTCCCTAGTTGGGGTCGGGTACGTCGCGGAGTGGTCTCAAAAGTTGTCTTCTTTCGAACGGGGGTTCGACGGTCTTCGCAAACTCTGAGAGCGGCCTTGCTTGCACTCTGGGGGGGTTTTTGCTTCAGCATTGAATGAGTTTCTTCTCACCTTCTCTTTTTTAGATCTACAGGTTCACTCCTTTCGCGGTGGTGTTTGGCTTCCCTCGCTGTTAGACCCGTCGGGCATGCCGGGCAGAACTACTTATCCATGAGAGCGTACCCGCACAGCTCGCGTAGAGAGTGCGGCTTCGACAGTCGTCCTGTCCGAACAGGCTGCTGCGCTCTACGAGGTGCAGAGCTTACTCTCCCTTGTGTCTTCGTCATCGTTCTGCAGCCTATGGGATTTGCGTCCGTCGCGCGGCGATTCCCAAGGTCATGAAACATAAGACTTTTGTGCCCAGCGAACTCGCTCACCGGAGTAAGTTGAAGGTACATGGACTGCATGAGTAGACGCAGTGGTCTCGCGGCACTGCCCGAACATAAAAGGCCATGTTGACTGCCAACCTGCACCTCTTCAGTGCCAAGCACAAAAAGGCCCCCAAAAGTACTTTCAGACTTTCAGACGGCCTGTGGCTATCAGCTGAGCTCGGCTGGGCCACGGCCAGGTCCTGGAAGAAGCCGCGAACAGCTGGGGCTCTGAGGGTGCGCGTCTTACGGGAGGAGACCGTTCTTTTTCGCTCTCAAAATTATCCGCTCACTTTGAAGGCTCAAAGAGCAACAAGGCACGACGTGCGGGCCTTTGGGAAGTCTCGGATCCAACAGCTGAAGTTTCAGTGAAGCGCGACGACGTTTCTCACCCAGGTGCAAGCAGCAGCGATAGCAGCAGCAGCAGCAGTAGCAGCTCAAGTCGAAAAGTGAGCAAAAAAGAGGCAATACGGGGCTTCTAGATTGAGACAGGGCCTCGAATTTGGCAACTTCCGGACATTGCATTCATGTCCACAGGCGAAGGAAGTGGCAAAATCGAACGCAGGCCCAACGGGCTGACCTGCAAACTGTAGCAGTTAGGAGCACTCCGTGCTTAAGTCTACGTCAGCCCATAGTGTGTGGAGGGACAGGCAAGCTTGTAGCAAGATGCCGAGACCTGTTCAACGCATGGTGTGAGATGGCCTCTGTCTCTGTGAGATTCTGATCGACGGCGCAGTCGGAGCGTTCGCAAGAAACGTGTCAACCTGAGTCAACTCCTTCACGCTCCTTCGGGCAGTCTTTGCGAGTTTTATTCGTCACTGCCACGAGGATCAAGCAGCGACAGCAGCAAGCCGCGGAAGAACAACAAAGAGGTTGAAGCCTGCACTTTCAGTCGGCGGCTAATCCGTGTCTGTGCATGTATCTGGACAAAGGCGAAGGACAAAGGCAAAGATAAGGACAAAAGCAGGGGCAAGGTCAAGGACAAGAAGGAAAGTAAAGACAAGAAGGAGAGCAAGGATAAGAAGGAGAGTAAAGACAAGAAGGAGGACAAAAGCAAGGACAAAGCCAAAGAAAAAAGGCGGCACAGCTCCAGTGTTGACCTCAAGAGATCTCAAGAGATGTGGCAAGTGGAAACCGTGCCTGATATCCTTGCTTCAAGTATGTTCTGCACGACTTGTCGTCCGAGGCACGTCATCTTCGAAGAAGAAGCTGCGTGCTCAGACTTCAGATCCTTGCCTCGCTACAGCAGCAGTCAAGCATGCAAACGACAGCATATGAAAGCCGACCAACGGCAGCCAACACTGCGCCCCAGAGCACGGTGTTTGCGGAGCTCCCCTTCCCTGGGAAATGTCAAAGAGATGGGCATTCAAGGGTGCCTCGGATGCACCCGCAGCTACAGCACACTCCCTGCCGCAACAGAATTAGAAATGCAACCCCTGCCGTGAAAATCAGCAGAAAGATCCTTCGAGCCATGCAGCAAACATGCCGATCGCATTCCTTCCGTGACCACAACACACACACAGACACTTAGGCTTGGCAAGAACTGATGAGGCGAACCTCGAGCATCCTAATGCAATGACAGATTACAGCAACCGTGCAGA